TTTCAAGGAGACTGCTGAATTGTATTTCTATAATCTTACATTAACCTTGTTTGACTCTTAAAGACGTTCTTGTCTTATGAAAGATTAAAAAGGCACATTATTACTGATCACAGAAATACAGGGAATTGAGAAAGAAAAGGCTTATTTAAATAAATCCAGTCTATTCTGCCAGATCAGGAGGGTTTCCTACAGTGAATCCTTAAGTACTTTGTCCAGTTCTAAATGATTGATGCAAATAGGCCTCCACCACTTTCCTAGAAGACCCTATAATATAATATTGAGTGTAATTTTCAATTTTGTGAAATTCCAGTAAGACTACTTAGAAATTTCATTGGAAGACTTTTTATTTAAACTTGATTAAGGTTCTTGCAGTTCTTGGTGGGGAGTCCACAAAAGGTCTTGGTAAAGGATTCTTTTTAAAAGTCATAAATGATTTTAAGAAAACATGATTGTCTATAACACTAAAACAAAGACAAACCTGACAAAGGCTTTGTCTGTACTTTTCAGCCATTGGTGCAAACCCCCAGTGTAGAAATGACTTGCACTAGTGTGAATCGTGCTAGAGGACTGTAAGGGCTAAAACCAGTACGGCTGAAATTCCATTGTAGAGCATGCCCAGGTTTCATTGCAAACAGGGTGGGGAGGGGACATGTTCAGAGCTGACATAAATGGTGTATCATTTCAAAAAATTGGGAGTAATTACATATCAAGGGGATAGTGTCACAAGAAATGCAACTAACAAGGGCAGTGAGAAGGTACATGAGGAGGCTGAAGGCCTCCCCCTTGGATTCCTTAGCATGTGTTACACCCGCTTACACTGACTTACCCATGTGTAACATATGTCAACATGTATTTCACCTCTGAATTTGTCACTGAGGGCCTGAGTTTTGTAGGTACTTGAGTTTGGAGTTGTTGGTGTTTAGTACTTCTGAAAATCAGGCCTTCCATGTGCAATTGACAAAATCTTATATGCTTGAATTTAGCATAAAAAGCTGGAGAATTTTAGTTCAAAAACGTTCATGCAAATTACTGCCTTCCTCTGGCAGTGGAGGAACAGTTGTTCCCATGATCACAATAATTGGTTTTGTAATTCTTGAATTTTCTCCTAGGGGAATAAGATCTTAATGTGGTTGTATCCCCCCAAAATGAGTTTGGTTTGGATTCCTCTTAGCTTAACAAAAATTAATTAGGGTGTGTTTTAGATTTAGGTGTGAACAAAATCTTTTTGTACTGTGGTTTCCAAGTTAAAAGATAACTCTCTTTAGAAGTCTGAAGTGGTGCATCAAAAGAGGCTGTTGTCCTGGCTGAATTGGTGTTTAACATGAAACGTGATCCACTGTTTTGGTCAATGGTAAGAGTCTCTATGGTCTCTGTTCTGTAGTCCTCTTCTCCAGAATGAGGTTGCTTGGCCATCTGTTTATGTAATTCTTTAAAGAGGTTTATTCTCCTCTGAACGTGCATGTGTAATTCCCATTACAGCTAGTGAGAGGCAGAAGGTCAGAACCTGACTTTGGGGCTGGCAGCTGCATTTTTCCAGGGCTCTCCACAGAACAAATTTTTACCTGAAAAATAGCAAGGGGAGAACATTCCAGACCTTTTCACACCAAAATCAAAACTGCTATCTCTCAGATCTTTTCCTATATCCTCTGGTCCTGCCAGCATGAGGCAGCTTTAAGTATACTGCTCAGTACTCTTACAAGTAAGCAAGGCACAGAAAAATCTTACTTACCACACCATTTTATTTACCGGTCTAATAGTATTCCCTAATGGACAGTATTGCAGATTCCATGGTAGTTAAATGATGAGCAGCAAATGTCAAGATTTTAAGGACATCCAATGTACATTTCAGAAGAGGAAAAAGCAAAGTGCTGACTATAAAATATGATGGCTAAGGCAAAAGTGGCAGTATGCAGAGAAGACTGAACTTTGATCTCTTCCGCAGCCTCTGTTCTTCCTATCTACATTTTATAAATGGGTTAGTCATTAAAGAGAGGACTAGAAATATAGGGGTGTCGTTTTTGACATTTAAAGGCGATGAATAGTTGCTTGTAACGTGCTTTTGCCCAGACCAACATGGAGGTAAATCCATTTTATATTGAGCAATGCTTCAGTGTACTTGCATGGAGAAACACTAGAGAAAGCAAAACAGGAAATGCTGTTGCAGTTATGGCTAATAAAGATGGTGACAGGCTGTTGCAGGCCCATGTGCTTCAAGACACCCAATACAGGCCCAAACCTACAGGCTCTCCGTGCCTAGGCTGTATCTTGCTAATGAGCTCCATCACAGGGGAAGATGTGGCCCCAAGAAGTCCTTGGTAGTTTGTCTCCAGCAGAACTGCGCTGCCAGGGTGTAAGGGCAATCCCACTGGGGAGCAGAGCTGGTGTGTAGGCACAAAGAACGAGGAGTACTTTCTTTTTGCTGATCTAGACTAACACGGCTACCACTCTGAAACCTGTGCAGAAACTCCATGGTGTTGGCTCTTGAATTCCTGGACTCAGTTCACCGTGGGCGGTGTGGGGGGCTGGTGATGTGGCCTGTTGATGTGATGTTTATGTAAATATTCTTCAGTGAGTAAGGGGTTCAGGACTGAGCCCTAAACTTGTAGGTTATTTAAAAAAAAACCTTCCCTTTTAATCTTTTGAGATAATAACAATTAAACACTCCCCACGTGCCTGCCTGTACTAACTTTGATCATCAAACCAGCAGGCAGGTTTTCTTTCTGGATTGTGACTTCATTGCATGTGAATTCCTAAGGAGTCATGGCCAATAGTCTCAAACCTAAGTGCCTAAAATGAGCTCCTAAATCCATGCTTAGGCTCCTAAATAAAAGTGCCCTGATTTTCAACAGGTGCTGAGCACCTGTAGCTCCAGTTGAAGCTAATGAGAGCTGCTGGTGGTGCAAATTACTTAAGCACTTACGTTTGAAATGTTTTGCCCTAAATTCTTTGGTCTCCCATAATTGGACGATTGACTCGTTCAGTATGTTACTAGATATGACCTTATGTTACTGGGCTGTGTGCAGGCAAAAATCAAGTAATTGAAAACATTAAGGTAAGGTTTTAAATCCATTATTTGTATATGGACTGAAAATGAACTGACTTTAATTTGACTCCTCACCCCCACCCCCAGAATAAATAAATACTGGATAATCTCTCAATCCCAAATGTGAGAATTACCTGTAACATAATTTATGACACATATCAACAGGTGACTTGTGGGACTAGGTTAATTGGGCTTAATATCAAGAGCATCTAAATATTTGCCAGTAAGCTGTGAAAGGCATTCAAAGCTTTGTTTCGTTAGGGCCCAATCCTGCATTGCTGAGCATCACTTAAGTGCTGAACACCTGACTCCCATTCAGGGTTCATGGTATTTTGCAAGAGAGACTAAACGGCTACTGTGAGCGTTCAAACAAGTCTTTAATTTAGCTGGCTTTGTCACTGCTATGTACGTACGTTCTACTTTGGGACATTTTTTCACCCTGTGTTTCAGATTAAATATTCTGTCACAAGTTTTTTTGCCTTCCTTTGTAGTTTTTCAAGTGAAAGATTTAAGGTCTCACCTGGGTCACCTTAGACAGTGTGGTCTAGTGGTTGGAACATGGGACCGTGAACCAGAACACCTGGGTTCTACACCAAGCCCTGCTGCTGACTTGCTGAATGGCTTTGTGCAAGTCATTTAATCCACTGTGCCAGAGTTTCCCCATCTGTCAAATGCAGATAACGGTTCCCTGTCTCAGGCATGTGAGGATTGATTTAGGCTTTGTAAGGAGCTTTTAAACACGTGAAGTTCTGTGCAAGTACCAAGGCTCCCATGTGCTACAGTAATACAAATAATCAATCATTTATTTTATTGATTGTTTTGTTGGGATGGGAAGATGATAAAGGTTGTTACCTGCACAAACGCCTACATCAAGTGCGTGAGTTGAGTTGAGCGATCGTTGATTAGTGGATTGAGTTTAGAATGTGGAACTCTGGAGTTCAGATCCTTCTTCTGTTACTCAGTCTCTATGGGGCAAGTCACTTAACCTGTCTGTTTCCTTAGAAGTATGAGACCTGTACTACCAGAAATTATTCTCATTAACAGATGTGGGGGAATAATTCTGGGCTTTTTCTGCAAATAACAGGCTGTTCACTGTGTCTGCATTCATATCCCCTGTGTTCTGTCCAGAAGTAGCTCTAGTGAATAAGTTCACTGGAAGGGAAATTTCAAAAAAACAACAAATTTTAAGGTAATTTTAGAGAATCTGTGGTAAAACAGTTGTGAAACTTTAATCACGGGTATTTACACTAAAAGTCAGGTTCTAAGAATTAAACTCATCCTGTCTGGAGACAGAAGCAATACCATGTGACCTCTGTGTCCAGTCAAAACTTACTGTAGTATCAAATACTTGCACTTAACTGCTCACACTCAACAGCGCAAGAATTATTATTCAGCAAATAATTTTGAACACAAATATATTTGATAAAACTTATGTGCTCATGGACAATTAATGATCAGAAAATATATTCTTCATTCTAGTCTTCTTACTAGGCAACCTCCCGTCTTGAGGGTCTACCCTAAAGCATCACCAAGCATATCTAGTGCAGTTCTACATCACTTATGTTAAATAATCAGGAAGGGTAAATGAAAACTCTATTGCAGATTCATTCTGCCATGGCAACATTAGACCCTATCACCACACTTAAATTAGCCTCTTTCTAGGCTATATTTTGGTGATTCCAGGAGTTAGACTGCCTTCAAGTAACTGGAATTGTGTACGCTCTTTTATATACATGGCAGAAGCAGTTATTCAAGACCAACTGAAACATGGGAAAACAGTGTATATGAAATGATTCCACTACTGCAGCAGGTCTGGCAGGCCAAAAGATAGACATGTGGAACAGTATATGGTTATGCTGGATGTGCAGGCTCACTTAAGCCATTGTGTATAGCTGATTTGCAGACAGTAACTAATTTCTTTGGCATCTTGCTAATTTGTTTTACCTTTATTTTACAGGAAATAATGAAAAAAGTCTGCCAAGGCTCTTGATCAGAGAACTGGAATTTGAGAAGAAGTCACTAACTAAGCTCATGTTTTCTCCTGATCAAGAAAATCATCCATCTAAAACACCAGTAAAATATGGTGAACTGATTGTATTAGGGTAAGTGTCTTGTTTAGAAATGAGTGCATAGCAGTGAGGTCAAATGTTAGATTACTGCAGTGCCTCTGCAATGAAAAGTGAGCCAATCACATGAGGCTTTGATAGGGCTTTGAACTGTTGTGTGGAAGACCTGGGTTTGATTTCCAGCTCCATTCTCTTGCTTTCCAGGCCGGGCAAGCTATGTGGTATTAAACACCCAGCATACTAATGACCTCTTCAGAGATCCCAGTCTGTGGCTGGAAAGACAGGATCTTTGATAACATAGAAGGAAATCCTCCTTTTTAAAGTCTTGTCTAGACTAGGATAAACAAGGTTTTATTAAAAGCACGCTAGCTAATGTATTTTAGAATCCTAGTGCAGACTAGGCAAATTGATCAGCCAATGTGTTACAGTACAATGTGATCTGTGGGGGCTGCTCCTGTCTACAGTAGGGTGTTAAAACATGTTAACAAACATACTTTGTAAAAAACATCTTTTCTCCTAGTCGAAGTAAGCCCTAATTAGAGGAAAGGGGTGTTTGTTATTTATCTGAGATCTTCTCTGGAAAAAATAGTCCTTTTGCAGTAAGTGTTACTCATAGGAGTCGTCCTTCTGTTATACAAGCAAATTGACGATAATGCTACTTGTAACAATAAATCTTACACATTTACCAGCTTAGGGCCTGCTCCTGCTCCCTTTGACGTTGGTGTGAGCAGGATTGGGCCCTAAACGTGCACACATGGTTTTCTCCATCTGTTTTTCTGACTGCACCATTTAATTCTGTACACCCAGAGAGATGTCTGTATACCATATTCATCTATTCTCAAGCTTATAGTCCTGTGCAGCTGTCTAGCGGCTTCTTTTTTCATAATACGTTATTTACCACAAAGATTGTTTACAGTGAAACTTGGTTTTTAGATTACAACACAATACTTGTTTAGCAGTTGGTCCAAATTAATTTAAAAACCATTATTTCTTCATATATTTTATCTGCATAATGGCTTTTTTCACAGGTATAATGGCTCTCTGCCAAATGGAGATCGAGGAAGAAGGAAAAGTAGGTTTGCTTTATTTAAAAGACCCAAGGCAAATGGGGTGAAACCCAGCACCGTGCATATTGCCTGCACTCCTCAAGCAGCAAAGGTAAGTTTGACAGTTTGTTAGTTGTAGGCCAGAGTCTGCTCTTTGACACCAGTGTACATCTACTGAGCTCAGTGTAATTACCCAGATGTAAAACTGGTATTGGACGCATCAGGCTCTGTGTGGGAAATGGTTGGGAGGTGTCTGTCCCGTTGGTGCCTTTCACCTACTGAAAAAGAAACCATTTAACACAAATCCAGTGCCCAGTCCTCACCACATAACACAAATAACTACTAAGAGTTAAGCTGGTCATATTGTTTGGTTTTCCTCCAGAACATGCTACCAAGGTGTACTTCAGATTTCCTGTTTTCTCAGTCTGTCTAACTAGAGATAGGTCTGTGCTTCATCTGGAGCTGTGCACTTCGAATACACCTGCTACTCAGTCCACTGGTGATGGTGGTCAGCCACAGATGGGGAAGGGGTGAAAGGAGCTGTTTCACAAAAAGTGTTGCAAGGGGCTTAAAATCAAGTGTAAGATTCTCCCTAGGAGAAAGAGTGGGGAAGGTTTTAAACCTAGGAAGGAGCACTGATGAAGCTTAAAGTGTAAAAGGTGATAACTACTGTGTCTGGGCTCCATGCGCACTTGCAGTGGAACCAATCCTGCCAAATGCAGAATATTTTCAGCGAGCTGCCGAGTGCCCACTGCTCCCACTGAAATCTATGGGAACTGAAGATGCTTAGCAGCCTGGCAGGAGGTATTCAGCACGTTTCAGATTCAGGCCTATGACTAAACACAGTGGAGCCAATGTGGTCCCACTCTCATGTGTAAGGGCTATAGGATCTGACTGTTAGTATCTCTAAATGCTCTGACAATGGGGAGTACCAGTTTATACACCTTTTAGCTCAGGGAATTACATAAAATAGCTGGGTGCTTTTTTAATTTGGGAGAAGTATAGAAGAGGGGTTTGGTTCTGATGCTGTAATCCAGTTGATGTGCTCACAGCTCCTATTGAGTTCACTATTTCTCCAGCCTCACAAGTACTTCATTCACAAGCAGACTATGAAGACCTACTTGTTCAGTTATAGACAACTAGCCATTGTTTTGCAAGTCAAAAATGGCACAAACCTCCAAAACCCTGGCTGACAAACTGAAAGTTTAATGTATTTTGCTAGATATCTTGCATCCTGTGTTGAGTAAATTTCCATTTCCTTTGCTTTGCTAGCAGCACTTACTGCTTTTTGTCCAGGTAGCTTACTAATCACCCCATGATATCACAGTGTATAAAAGGGCTGTTAAAATAAAATCCACGCCTCTCACCCCTCCTTTGCTGTTGCAAAAGGTCAGGATGTGGAGGTTTTACAAATGCAATGCTAGTATTTTTAGCCTTTGCCATGCTTAATCATTCTTCGCATCTTTTGTATCTAGGCCAAAGTGTGTCTAACACTAGCCATGACTAATGTGTCTGTCACATAACACGTGTCTTGTTTCAGTGTGGTGAAGGGACCAGTTGGGTCTGTTTCTGGATCAGTCCTGCGTTATTTTATTTTTTAACTCTGGTGTATGAACAGTGACACATCTTTAGCAAATTTGCACCTGTGAGTTTGTGCAGTCATCAAGCACAACAGAAGGCTGGCTATATTCCTAGACCTGAGCATAGAGTTTGTATCCAGCCCACCAATGAGGGCAGTGCCAAGCTGCAGCAGCCAGGGGAAATTCTGGAGGGGTTGGGACTCAGAAGGCACTGCCCCTTCCAGAGCTCTGTAGATGTGCAGGAGGCGTGTTCGCAGTGTGCCATGCTCTGTTGTGGATTGTTCCTCCAGGGCTGCTAGAAGGGAGCAGACTTGCACTTCCCAGATTGCCGTGATTGTGATTGTGTCTGGAACTTGAACGGGGGAGAGTACATGGTAAAGAGAGTCCTTTGAACCCTCACTCCCCACCTTCCATGCCCCTACACAAGAGCCTGGCATAGTCTGGCCCTTAATGTTTGTTGTAAGCTACATAGCTTACTTACTATCTCTACAAGGTGTTGCAGAATTTCTAATCTGCTGGGGCAGCACCTCCTTATGGGGAGTGGGTAGCATGTACTTTCTTCCACAGTTGGCTAACTCCACTAGATGAGGTGGAGGAGGAGGATCACGGCCCCACCACTTGTAACTGTGTTAACCGGGAGCATGCCAGGACTGCAACTGTCAGCAGCTATTGAGAGGAAGAATTAAACAGGGAAAGCTCCTTCCACACTTATGTCTGTACATATCCCTGTAAGAGGTGGCTTCAGTCTCCCCCAGAGCTCTAGATGTTGGTGTCTTGCATAGCCATGTCTTGCATAGCCATAGAGGAGAGCATTTACCTAATGGCTCATATTGATTACTTCACACTTTTTATCATAGCTTGGATAAATATCACCTCTTTGTTCCAAAGCTGAATAGTATTTGAAATAACTAAGTGGGTTGCAGGTGATAGTAAAACACTGAATTTTCTAGTTTGGGGGCCATATACAACTCTCATGGACTTAGCACAGCTCATGGAATGCACACTGATGCTTACTGTACTCCACTCACATTCTTTCTAGGGTGCCAGGTCTGGGAAATCTGAGTGCTGTGGTTTTTACCAAGATATCCTTGATTGTTTTTTAAAATGCAAAACCTCTAGATTGCTAAAAAATTAAATTAAGACCATTAAATTAAGACTCAGACGGTGTACTGTGGGAGTGTCATGTTTAAAATCAGTATCTGTCTACAGCGAAGCCACAATTTTTGTGCCTTTTTCTTGCGATCTTTTAACTTACAAAATAACACATTGACTTATCAGTCTAACTACTATAAGTCTACTTGGGTTGTTCCTCTTTGTCAATTGACTAGTGTTTGTTTTCATTTGTGATGCTCAGATATTCTTTATTTTTAATATATATTTTAATTTTCTATAGGCAATAAGCAACAAGGACCAACATAGCATATCGTATACCTTGTCTCGGGCCCAGACGGTGGTGGTTGAATATACACATGACAGCAACACTGATATGTTTCAGGTATGTAAAGCATGTGCAGTATATATTTTTCTTACCGTTATAAGAAAATGGCACAAGACGTGCTCTCGCTCAAATTTTTTTCGGTGTTTGAAGGTAAAACGTTTTTGTGACTAATCCACCAGGACAAGGAGCAGGGTTCTACTCTTCATTCTGCCACAGACATCCTTTATGGCTGTGGCCAGTCACTTCACTCATCTGTCTTCTGTAAAATGGAGACTAAGGGATAACTGTCTCACAGGGGGAGCTTGAAGCTAAGATCTTGCTTACAAAGTGCTTTGAGAATCAGTCACTAGTAGGTGCAGTGGAAATGCAAGTGTGACTAGTTGGACCAATAACTATTTTGTGCTATGAAAAAACAGCACAAACTTTTTCAAGAAAGTCTAATAATATTTGAGTGAGTTCTGTACTGTGAAATGTTGGCATGTAGGGCCCACTTTTGATACACCACTGTAAATCCAAAGTCATTCCATTGCCTTCAGTGGAGTCTGCGTATTCAAACAGAATTGGACCCACAGCATACTTTTAATATCTCTTACAGCTTTCCTCAAAAGGAAAGGGTTCTGTTTTTAAAAATGAGGGTTTGTTCCTTCTCTCCAGTGATTGAATTCTGTGTTGAAGTTAAACTAATTTGCCATGACTGAGCTACCAAAACGGGTTTTTTTAACATAAGAACAGTCATACTGGGTCAGACCAAAGGTCCATCCAGCCCAGTATCCTATCTTCCGACAGTGGCCAATGCCAGGTGTGCCAGAGGGAATGAACAGAACAGGCAATCATCTAGTGATCCATCCCCTCTTGTCCATTCCCAACTTCTAGCAAACACAGGTGAGGGACACCATCCTTGCCCATCCTGGCTAATAGCTATTGATGGATCTATCCTCCATGAACTTTATCTAGTTCTTTTTCGAACCCTGTTTTTGTCTTGGCCTTCACAACATCCTCTGGCAAAGAGTTCCACAGGTTGACTGCGTTGTGTGAAAAAGTACTTCCTTTTGTTTGTTTTAAATCTGCTGCCTATTAATTTCATTTGGTGGCCGCTTGTTCTTGTGTTAGGAGGAGGAGGAGTAAATAACATTTCCTTATTTACTTTCTCCACACCAGTCATGATTTCATAGACCTCTATCATATTCCCTTATGTTCTCTTTTCCAAGCTGAAAAGTCCCAATCTTATTAATCTCTCCTCAAATGGCAGCTGTTCCATAACCCTAATAATTTTTGTTGACCTTTTCTGAACCTTTTCCAAGTCCAGTATATCTTTTTTTGAGATGGGGCGATGACATCTGTGTGCAGTATTCAAGATGTGGGCATACCATGGATTTATATAAAGGCAACATGGTATTTTCTGTCTTATCTATCCCTTTCTTAATGATTCCCAACACAGAATCATAGAAATGTAAGGCTGGAAGGGATCTCAAGAGGTCATCTAGTCCATCCCTTTGTGCTGAGGCAGGACCAAGAATACCTGACTGGTGTTTATCTAACCTGTTCTTAAACTTCCAATGACGGGGATTCTACAACCTTCCTACTCTATTCCAGTGTTTAACTATCTTTATAGTTAGGCTAGACATTAGGGAAAAAAACTTCCTAACTTTCCCTTGCTGCTGCAGATTAAGCACATTACTTCTCGTCCTACCTTCAGTGCACATGAAGAACTGATCCCCATCCTCTTTATAACGGCTCTTAATACGTTTGAAGACTATTCTCAGCTCCCTCTCCATTTGTCTTTCCTCAGGCTAAACATGCCTGGTTTTTTAACCTTTCCTCACAGGTCATGTTTTCTAAATCCTTCATAATTTTTGTTGCTCTCCTGTGGACTCTTTCTAGTTAGTTCACATCTTAGTGTGGTTCCCAAAACTGGACATGGTACTCCAGCTGAGGTCTGACCAGTGCTGAGTAGAGAGGAACAATTATCTTCAGTGTCTTAGATATAGCATTCCTGTTAATACCTCCTAGAATATTAGGCTTTTTTGTAACTGCATCATATTGTTGTTTTATATTCCGTTTCTGATCCACTGTAACCCCCAGATCCTTTTCTGCAGTATTACTGCCTAGCCAGTTATTCCTCATTTTGTATTTGTGCATTTTGATTATTTTCCTTCCAAACTGTAGTTCGTTGCACTTGTTTGTTGAATTTCATCTTGATGATTTCAGATCAGTTCTCCAAGGGCATTTTGAATTCTAATCCTGGCTTGCAATCCCTTCCAGTGTGGTGCTGTCCACAGATTTTATAAGCATACTCCACTCCATTATCCAAATCATTAGTGAAAATATTGACTAGTGCGGGACCCCACTAGATACATCCTCCCAGTTTGATAGTGAACCACTGATAAATACTGAGTGATTTTTTTTTTTTCTCCTTTCCCCAACTAGGTACCTTATAATAATTCTTCACCTAGACCAGTGCTTCTCAAGCTGTCTGATGTGGGGGACCGGCAATTTTTTTTTCCCAATGTGCACGGACCACCACTTGAGTAGCACTGACCTAGACCACATTTCCTTTGTTTGCTTATGAGATTGTCATTTGGGACTATAAAAAGCCTTACTAAAATCAAGGTACATCATGTCTACACCTCCCCCCTCCACTAGGCCGGTAACCCTATCAGAGAAGGAAATGAGGTCAATTTGGCATGACTTATCACCCTATGATCCTCTGGATGCTTGAAAATTGATTGTTTAGTCATTTGTTTCAGTATCTTTCTGGTATTGAAGTTAGTCTGATTGATTTTTGGTCTGTAATTCCACAGGTCATCTAAAGAGGGGGAACAAATAAGCTATCTTTGTAAAAATGTTCTTCAGGCAGGCTTCTTTAAAATCACCTGTGGCAGTCCATGTGGACTGATGGGTTATCCTGCCTAGAAAGCAGAGTACATGCAATAGAAGAAATATATTGACTACCCCCAAGTGCCTAGTCTTTCTCTCGCTTTTGTAGTAATGTAATCCATTATACCATGAAAATTGGGAGAGAGGGGTCGTCTGTCAGTTCCATAAATGGGTATGGAATAGGAGAGCTCAGGCAGCAAGTTGTCGAATTCAGTAGCACCCCAGTCATTTGGATCTGGCTATCTGAACATCCTGGATGCAATAGGGTAAAAACTTCCCTTTAAACTCTTCAAGCATTGTAACAAACCCAATGACTTGTTTGACAGGATAGTCAGTTTCATGCAAACCCACCATACTCAGGTGTGTTGAATAGGTCTGCACTGAAGACCTAATTCAGCCAATTGTTTGCAACCAGAAGAGGGGGAACTACCTTGTCAGCAAATGCACTGAAGGTAGATTCCCTCCCCCCCCCGCCCCAAATGTTGTTCTGTTATGGCAGGGATTTCATTGTAAACGCAAGCTTCTTGTACCTTGTCTCTCCTAACAAGAAGGACCCTGCTTTCCAATGCCCCATCAGAACTGGAGGGCGAACTCACATGTTCCAGGTATTCTTTCTAATCTGTATTTCCAATAGGTCCTAAACCTGGCGTCAAGAATTGGAACATATGGTGGGTTCATGCAGCCATTAGGGGCTCAATCATTCCCCTCCCACCATGATTAAAGGGATCACTTTCCCACTATTTTGACATTGCAGCTGCTGATCTGCTGACTTAGATAATGGGACTCACCTTTCTGATGCGACTGCCCCCGGGGGAAGTTCTGTCACATCTGACTTCACTACAGTTTTTTATTCTATTGGCTGCTTTCTGCCTCCTGAATAAACCAAATTTTAGAGGTCGTCAAGGAACCATCTCCTGCACCTTACATACTCCAGAAGGGACTATCTCAAACGAAAACAAAAATCTCACACTGGAAGGGGAAAAAATCCCAAGAAACGTACCTGAAGATCATGCAGAAAACCCAAAATGATGATGATGAAGAAAAAGCTGACAGCCATCCAACAGAGGAACAGGTACAACAACTCCAGAGAACCCAAGACAGCAGGTCCCAGCACGTGGATGCTACACAGCCCCTCAGCATCCTCAACCTATCAGACTCTACCTAATTGAAACTAAAGTATCATTCTCTAAAGGACTAAATTCTGCCCCAACATAGAACGTGATGCCACACTAACATGTGGAGAACTAGAAGAATTCTTCCGCTGACTGTGCCTCAAGGAATTCTTTCACAGTGAAGATGATGCCACCCACAACTATCACATCCCCCACCGAATAAGATAAGAAAAAGAAATAATCTGACTGGATGTCCCACAGCGGAGGAAACTACACACTAAATCATTAGATTGGTTGCTTCAGGAAAAGATACTCTGAAATCCTCAACAAATATTGCAGTTCCCCCAATCTTTCTACTGCTGAGAAGATAGTAATACAGTATCTGAAATCCAGCCACCAGAAAGTGGTCAAACCTGCAACCAAAGGGGATACCATTGTAGTCTTTAATCATGGCCAACAGACAACTCTAACACCTCTTTTTATAATGAATTCTAAGATGCCACACCACAATTCGTACAGGAATTTAAAATTACCATCAAATCCTTCCCCAAACAACTCCAAGAAAAACTCTCCAACTTCATCCCTCACAAACCACCCCAGATTCTACATGTTTCCCAGGCAGACCCATCGTATCTCGCCATAGAACTCTTACTGAAGAAGTATCAGGACTCATAGAAACAGCCTTTAAACCACACCACACACACAACCGACTTCCTCCAGTAACTCCATGACATTAACGACCCCCCAGAACACACACACTCTTGCCATGTGAATGTCACCTCCCTGTACACCAACATCCCTCACCATGATTGCATTGCTGCCTGCCTCAAATGCCTAGAAGACAATGCACAACGCTCAAAAATCCACCCTAAACACTTTGCCAAACTCATCCTTTTCCTTCTCACCCACAACTGCACATTTAACAACAAACATGTTAGTCCAAACCAGGGGAGCAGCCATGAATTCTAGGATGACTCCCCAGCATGCCAGCCTCTTCATGGACCACCTCAGAGAAGAATTTCTGGAATAATATGCCATGAAACTAATGATATACCTGAGATACACTGATGTGTTCATCTTCCGGACAGATAACCTAAACGCCCTCAGAAATTTCCCATCACCCATTGCGACATGGGCCCATTTGTGATTCACTACTGTGTCAGCAATTCTTATCCGGCATGACTTACTCACTACAGCTCCCACACTAGTGTCATGATATTTATTTAAAAGGTGATGTAATATATTTGAAATTTAATAACACATTGGTCATTAATGTCATTGTGAAATGGAGTAAAACTTCAGTTATGAACACCAGAGTTACGAACTGACCAGTCAATCACACATCTCATTTGGAACTAGAAGTACACAAACAGGCAGGAGCAGACACACAAAAAGCAAATACAGTACAGTATTGTTAAACGTAAACTATAAATTTTTTTCTTCTGCATAGTAAAGTTTCAAAGCTGTATTAAGTCCAATGTTCAGTTGTAAACTTTTGAAAAAACAACCATAACGTTTTGTTTACAGTTACGAACAACCTCCATTCCCGAGGTGCTCATAACTCTGAGGTTCTACTGTGTATGTATTAACATTATATAAGAAATTATGGGTACTCACTGATATTCAGCTTTACAGTTTGTGCCCAAACAAAGGGGTAACAGGTCTCTCCCAGACAGGAGGCAATGTCACAGCTATATACCTGTCTCCTATGTAAATTAAGTATGGTGGAATCAAAACAGTGGAAGCCCCATTTATGTACAGGAGAATCGGAATTGCATAGGAAGGGGAAAACAGCATGAGGTCATCCTGTCTCTTGAACTTTGGAAGACATAAGCAAGACAGAAGTCATGTCTGGTATCTATCACTAGACAGACACAAGGGGCAGGCTCTTGCAAGCTGAGAAAGATGGTTCCTTCAACCAACAAGTTGAAATACCTGGAAATGGAATATAGGTGAGAGACCTGCTTAGGTAAAGATCTTTTATGAAGGAAGACAAGGGAAATGAGCCCCTTGTGTTTCTGTGGAAGGTCCTGATTGATAGAAAGTCAGCCACCTGAAGTGTGACACCCGTCCATCAGTCTCTTTCTAGAACACTCCCACAGTAGCATCAACTTTCTGGACACCATGATCAGCTTCAACAATGGAACCCCACATATGACTATATACAAGAAATCCCTGGATCACCACACTTACCTTCATGGATCCAGCAACCATTCGAGACACGTTAAGAAATCTATCTACAGCCAGGCACACAATATACAGGACTTGCTCCAGACAAAGTCTGGGATACACACCTAAACATACTTGCAACCTTCACTTAACAAGGGCACTCCACTGGAGAAGTAGATTGCATCATGGAAAGGGTCACCAAAATACCCTGGGAGAACCTGCTTCAGTACAAGGAGGGGAACCCACTGACCACATAGAACCATATAACTGGAAGGGACCTCAAGAGATCATCTGATCCAGGCCCATGCACTCAAGGCAGGACTAAGTATTACCCCTAGTTTCCCCTAAAGCCCCACACTAGAATCCATATGGGGTATCATCAAACAGTTATAACCCATATTTGATGGGGACCACATCCTAACGAAATCTTTCCCAAACCCTGCTTCTGGCCTTCAAACAACCGTCCAACTTTGTCTTGCTCATCCAGTAGCTAGCTCCCCACCAATCGGGACACACCAACTCAAAGTGACAACAGATGCAAAACCATCAGACATATCTCCACTGCTACAATGATTAATATCACCCACAATACACCTGTCTGGCACATATAAAACCCATGAATCTTATCGCAACTTGTGGTGTACCTCGACTATTCTGTGCATAAAATCAATTGCTACGCTCTCAAATGAACTCCAACAGAAAAATAAGACAAAAATACCATATCACCTGTGGGCAAACACTTTTCATAAAGCAATCACTTCATATCTGACCTCTCAATCTTCATCCTCAAAGGAAACCTGCACACCTTCAAAAGGCAAACCTGGGAACTTAAATGCATAACTCTGCTAGATGCTAAAGTCCATGGACTCTGAGAGACTGCTTTACAACAATTTGTAACACACTGCACTGCCAACTCTTAATTGCCTCCTACTTTTTTAAGAGGTCTCCTACAGCATGTGTGAACCTGTTATGCTTAACAATCTGCCCCAACTTGTATTTGGGTTAGCCACTTCTGTTACCTTCCCTAGACTTGAAGATGAGCTCTGTGACGCTCGAAATCTTGTAGTCTGCACCAACAGAAGCTGATCCAATAAAAGATATCTTACTTTACTTACACTGGTCCCATTTTATGAGACAGTATGGCTACAGCAACGCTACAATCAAATTAGAGGTGGAATAACTTACCAGTTCAGAGGGGGTTAGTCTCAGGTGGTAAAATGTCTTTAGTCTCTGAAAGGTCATGGTTTATTCTTGACCACTTTAAAACGTTTAAGTTTTAAATATTTTGTACTGTAGCTTCTAAGTCGTGTGTTTTTCCCTCCTCAGATTGGCCGGTCAACAGAAAGCCCTATAGACTTCGTAGTGACAGATACTGTTCCTGGAAGTCAGAGTAATTCAGATACACAGTCCGTACAGAGCACTATATCAAGGTTTGCTTGCAGAATCATATGTGAACGGAACCCTCCTTTTACAGCAAGAATATACGCTGCGGGATTTGACTCATCGAAAAACATCTTTCTTGGGGTAAAGACTCATTCTCTTCCCAGCTGAGTGCAGGCTTATATTTAAACTAGTTTATACCTCAGAATAACAGATGAATGGAAGTTCTGTCTTTGTCATTCCTCCTAGGAAAAAGCTGCCAAGTGGAAGACATCCGATGGACAGATGGATGGGTTAACCACAAATGGAGTTCTTGTTATGCATCCGCGCAATGGATTTACTGAAGACTCCAAACCAGGGGTATGGAGGGAGATATCTGTGTGTGGAAATGTGTTCAGTCTCCGTGAAACCAGATCAGCTCAGCAGAGGGGAAAAATGGTAAGTGTAGTGAATAACATTTTATGCTGCATATATGATACAGATACATTGTTTAAGGCTGTACCTAGGGCTACATAAGGGCCAGAGTATGCTTGATTGACTTAAACAGTATAGGGCCTTACTCTGTTTTTAGTGACTGCTCATGGAGTAAGATGCTACTCAACCCGAGTAAGACTGGCAGAATCTGGCCCTAAATCATTCATTTATTGTATGTCTACACTGCTGTGCTAAATTTAGTGGCCCAGTCTAGCATGTTGGTCTGTGAGCAGTAGAAGCTTTGCTACATCATGATGTGGGCTTTTTAAAAGTTTTTAAAATTATTTCCCAACCCTCCCTTTTCACTTGCATCTTTACTCACATTTTTCTCATTTTGTGGGGGAGGGGAATTCCCACAGTTCTTTGGATGTTTCAGAGTTAATGTAATGTAAACCTTGCTCTAGAAAGATGCATGAGATATAAAACCAGACTTGTCTTGATATGACTTTTTTTTTCCTGAGTAAAAATTTTTTTAAATCAGATGTTTTACTTGTTTTAAGTTGTGGTGCATTTGTTTAGGAGAGATGGTGTGCTGATTGTGTGTTTGTTTGCATACACTACTACTAACTTAAAACTAATGTTGCTTGCTCCCATGGCAAACTATTGCTCTTTCTTTAATCGACTTAGCTGGATGCATGATTAGGAAGGAGCTCATGATGATTAGGCATGTGGGTGCTTTTGGTGGCTTCAGTTTTAGGGTCCTGAACTTGAGACATAGTTAAAGGTGCCTGATTTTCAAATAATTCTGAGCACCTACCCTCTAAATATCAAGCTCTTTCAGATCTCAGATTGAGCACCCAAAATCACTGCTAGTTGAAACTCTTGGCCGGAGCTCCCTAGCCAGGTTTTACAGTTGTTTTCTTCAAAATCTATACAGCCAGTTTGAGTAACTTTGTGATCTCTGTGCATTTCCATCCCAGGTTGAGAATGAAACCAACCAACTCCAAGATGGCTCATTAATCGATCTGTGTGGAGCAACGATGCTGTGGCGAACTGCCGAAGGCCTTTCACGCACTCCTACGGTGAAGCACTTGGAAGCTCTAAGACAAGAAATAAATGCCGCCAGGCCTCAGTGCCCTGTAGGGTTTAACACATTAGCATTTCCTAGTATGAAGAAGAAAGATGTTGTAGATGAAAAGCAACCGTGGGTGTATCTGAACTGTGGCCACGTACACGGCTATCACAACTGGGGAAACAAAGAGGAAAGAGATGGGAAGGATAGAGAATGTCCCATGTGCCGCTCTATTGGCCCCTATGTGCCTCTGTGGCTTGGATGTGAAGCTGGATTTTATGTAGATGCAGGACCTCCAACTCATGCGTTCAGCCCATGTGGACATGTGTGCTCAGAAAAAACAACTGCATATTGGTCCCAAATTCCTCTTCCTCATGGTACTCACACTTTTCATGCAGCCTGTCCGTTCTGTGCACATCAGCTGGCTGGCGAACAGGGTTACATCAGACTTATTTTCCAAGGACCTCTTGACTAATACGCGTGTCTCTCAGGACTTCATTAAATTTATAAGCTAAGCAATTCTGATTTTAAACAAACTGTCTATTTCATATTCTCTGGGTTTTGACAGTTTGCATTAAAATGAAGATTTTTTTTTGTTTTGTTATAGCAGCTAAATCCCTTTCTAGATGAGGAAAAGCCTGGAAACAACGAGATTATGGGGAGGAAAGGGAAAGTTCCTGACTTTGTTTAATGTCTACTTTTGGAGAAGGGGAGGGAATTTATGCATAGCGAAATTCAATGCCTTCAATTTAATGTTTTTGAATGACATGTCCTTGGTGTGTTAAAAGTTGCTTTTTTGGGGGGGGCGGTGTATAACTGTGGGTAAATGTGGTCAGTTCAAAGGACATTAGTTTACAGCTTGGATGCAAACATTGTAAAATATAGCAACATGTATATTAACTTTTTCTATTTATCTTTATTATTGAAATTATCTTATGGCATTTTGATAGAGGAGGAGCATGGTAGTAGTGTGTGAAATCCATTGACTGGATGCATAGAATAGTCCTTGATGGAGGAAGGTTAGAAGAAAACTGTAGAAGTACCTTTTTAAAATCTAGAGTACTATTGAGTTCTTAGAGTAGCCGAATGCTTTTTAAACAAAATTAATGCAAATTACATTGGTGTAAAAATATGCTTTAAACTCACAAAAGATAATTATGATGGACTTTTTAAAATGTCTGTCCATTGGGTAGGACTATAATAAAAGAACTGGTCACAGGAAAACATTTACCTGATTCTTTGAATATGCAATTTTAAACTAGGTTAAGGATTTTTCTCCTTCTGTTAACTAATCTTTTATTTACCATTAGCAATGTTTGAGGTTTTTATTTATTTAAACAACAAAAAACGAACAGCCAAGACTCAACTGTTCTTCACTGTTAGAAAAAAGCCATGAATTAGCCAGAAAGCTGTGTTCAATTTAAAGAAAATTATTCATTCTGCTTTTAGTCTAATCCCTTAATTTGTATGCAGGGTGGGTAGATGGCACACTGGCTTCATACACTTTGCCTTTCAGCTCCACAGAGCTGGGTACAAATATGTATTTAGGTGACAATTGAAGACATTGCAGCCTTGGAGCTAAGATGTTTGTCCACATCCCCAAACCATCATGTAAACTGGCACAATTGGCAGTCTGTGCTCAGGAAGAGCTCCAGTTGAGATTGAGTTGTATTCATGGCGCTTGAGGTGGAGGAAGCTTGCAGAAAAGTTACTCACACCATGGCTGATTAAGTCTGTTTTTAGTCTCACTTTCAATATCCCTCCCTCAAAATGCTCCTCTTTCTTTGCCCCTCCACCTTCCCCGCCACCACCACCAATCCCTTACCAGAAAAGGCCAGTGCATTACATGGAATTTGAGGCTAATCCACCATGCTTTGTGACAAACATTCAAATAATCCTTTTAGGATTGAGGTAAGCTTTTTTTTAAACTAGCTTTTTAAACTGGTTTCTCTACTTTGGATTGGAAATATGTACGGTATAAACTGATAGTAGCAAATTCCCGTACTCTGTAGCATAGCTTTAATTTATCCTATCACAAAGCTGTTCTGAACTTTCCTTGATAAAAACAAACTGAATTGTGTTTAGAAGTCATGAATTATTTTCTGTCAAGAATTCTTTCTCCATTTTAAAAAGATACGTATATATATTGTTTGGTTCACTCAGGAAATGTATGTGTCAGGAAACCTGTATTATAAGTTCAAGTAGCTGTCATGTATAAGTAACTGCTGTTACACCATTTCAAAGAAATATAATTGATTTTGACATTTTTCCGGTTTCATGCATTAAGTAATGAGACTTATGCAACAAGGAATCCCTGTATTGTAGTTCTAATCATTTATATTCAGACTATATATACTGTAGTTCAATTTTTATTTTCAAATTAATTTATTCAAACTATGTGAGTAAACACTTTTCAAAAATAGAAATTACAGAGTTGCCTGTTGCTCTGTTGCATTTGTTTCTGCTCATATGGAAAAGATTTAACAAAGATGGAAAGGTTACGGTACTTTTAAAAATGACTGTTCAGAAAATATCTCCTTCACTTTAAGCATGTTAGTTTCACTTGTATTGAGAGCAGAGAAATCTGATGAGATGACCATCAGGGGTTTGAGATTTGGCATGTTCATGGCTTGACTAGCACCTCCCTCCCTCCCTCCACGTGGAGGGGATCTCCCTCCAAATTTTGGCAAGGATGAGAAAGAGTGATGATTACTCGCCATCTTCCCTCCTTGGCACTTCATTCAGAGGAGGACAATATGGGCGGTACAGCTCTGCACTGCACCCAGACTCCAAAGTGGAAATCCAGGCAGAGGTAAAAAGGCATACCTCCCTCTGCATCTCCTTGGGCATATCTGACTGCTACCTCCAATGTGGTCTGAGTAAAAAGTAAAAGCCTAATTACAGCAAAACCAGCTTTTAAAATAAAACTGACAGGTTCTTCTGCCCCCTGGGGCACCAGCCTGGGCTCCCTTATACTGTCCTGCTGAGCCAGGCCCTCAAGCCTCCTCCAGCACACACACACAGGTAGGGACACACCCAGCTTCAGAACAGAAAGACAGACACTGAAATCAGCTCTGCATGGAAAGGTGTCAGCTAAGGAACTGCCCAGATACTCCCAGTGCACACACCCCCTAGGAGTGCAAACCCAAAACTGCAGTCTTGCACGTTGTTTTCCAGTGGTGTTGTCTCTTCCTCTTCCCTTATCCCCACCCCTTCCCCCCGGGCCTGTGGAAGAATACTGGTATTCTATCATGGAGTCCAGTACCAGGTGACATGATCACAAGACCCTGCAGTGTCAAAGCAGCCATGTATCAAAGGCCATTTGTAGTATCCCAGGAAGGTGGGAGATTAGCATCTTCAAAGACCTATTGTTCTCCCTAATGGTCCATTGACTGGTCCCCATCTAGTCAGTCTAACCAGCCAGACTGATTGCATTCTGTCTGGTGGGCGTTCCCCAGGTGCAAACGCTTTTGTGGTACAGATGTATAGTCAATATTCCTAACTTTAGATACAGAAATCATGTATGCATACAAATAGGATAATCATATTCAGCAGATCATAACCATTCCAATGATATCTCTCATGCCTTATCGTGCACAAAACATCATAGTTTTGCTATAATCATATAATATTTCTATGAAGAATATGGGGTGTAGCGTCACAACAACAAAACTTTCATTTTCCACGTAATCAATAAGGATGATTGTTCCCTCTAGTCCTGATTCTGGTGCTGGCAGTGAGGATATGAAAATCTGAGAAGGAAACTATTGAAAAAATTTAAAGAAGTTTGCCATTAAATCACTTTGTATAGGTACCTTTTTCAAAATCATTCCAAACTATAAAGGGAGCTGAGGGTGACATGTTCACCTTTGGTGACTACACTTGCAGTGTGGAGGATACACGTAGCTACACACTGCAGTGGAAAGCAGGCTGTATCCACACTGGTATGTAGCCACACGGGGCAGTGAGAGGCTCTGGCAGGGGGAGGAGGTGGGGAAAGGCTCCTGCAGCTCTCAGCAGCTGGGAAAGGCTCCCGCCGTGGGACACTACACTGCTAAATATAGCAGTGTGGACAAGGGAGGCACTGTTTGGATTCATAGAGCGCCCTGTAGGGTGTGTACCCTATGGTTCTGGCATGTCTTTACTTGCCTGAGCAGTGCCTCACCACCTATGCTGCCGTTTATACCTCTGCTAGCTAAGTGTGCAGTGTGTGTACTCTACATGCTGCCGTAAGTGTCAGCATAGTCTTTGTGTTTTGTGGGAGAGAAGCTGGCAGTAGGGGCGTTCACGATTACAGTAGCGCTTCCATATGCAATGGACTTTAATGTGTTTTGTTTGTTGCCCTGAATGTTACACATTGGCAGCAGCTTAGTTATGCTTATAGCTTTAAGAAGATCACATTTTTATCCACGCTGCTCTTCTGGTGTTGGGAGAAAACACTTCTGAATGAGGATGAGAACTGCAGCTTGGGTAGAACAAACTCTTGCTGTGCAGCCTTATATTAAATCTATCGGAGACCCTGCGACAGGTTGCATGCTGTCTTTCCAACCTCCGAGAGTGTGTTGGCTTTTGCCACTCCTGTTCATGTGAGCAGGCAACGTGTTGACATGTGTCCTGTTCTCTAACTGCAGGATTCTTGTATGCTTAAGAACAATGAAGCAGATGACACAGTGCCCTAAATCTCATGCCTGTGAACCAAAACCTATTTGGTTGCTCTAGTTTTAGATGGAGCAGTCTTGACTGGTCTCTCTTTAGAGTCCTTTCAGAGGGCTTTACATTGTCCTTTGAAACCAATTTCTTAAGGTTTCACGTGCTGTGTAATCAAATTGTAAAATGAATGTGGAATTGGGCCCAATCCATTGGGGGTAAAATTTTCAAAAGTGCCTAAGTGACTTAGGATCCTTCAAAATGCATATAGGCACCAAGGCCCATTGACTTGAAATGAGATTTATGTTCTGAAGTCACGTGGGCACTTTTCAAAACTTTACCCCCTGGAACCTTGGTTCTTAACACAATCGGTTTGGAGGCAAGGGAATGTATTTGTTAGTAACAGCCAATGGAGTGTTGTCATTAAGGGTATGTCTACACCACAATTAAAAACAGTCAGCTGACCCGTCCCAGCTAAGGGGCTGTTTAACTGTGATGTTGACACTCTGGCTCAGGATGGAGCCAGGGCTCTAGGACCCTACAAAGTGGGAGGGTCCCAGAGCTCTGCCCAAACATCTGCACTGTAATTAAACAGCCTCTTAGCCCATGCCCTGCAAGTCCAAGTCAGCTGGCATGGGCCAGCTGCAGATTTTTAACAGTGAAGACATACACTTAGTTTCATTTTTGGTGTTGTGTCCCTAAACCAATCCCTGTTGCCCATGATAGCCAGGCACAAATTGTGTGTGGGGGTCAGCAGCTCTGAACCTTTTCAGACTACTGCACCCCTTTCAGGAGTCTGATTTGTCTTGGGTAACACCCACCACTTCACCTCACTTAAAAACTACACGCTTACAAAATCAGACATACAAGTACAAGAGAGTCACCGCTCACTATTACTGACAAATTGCTTTTCTCATTTTTCCATACAATTATAAAATTGATTGGAATACAAATATTGTACTTATATTTCAGTGTCTAGTACATAGAGCAATAGAACACGTCGTATTAAAATTGTACTGACTTTGCTAGTGCTTTTTATGTAGTCTGTTGTAATACTAGGCAAATAACTAGATGAGTTGAGAACCACTGGTGTAGGTGTTTTCTAGTGCATACTTCTAAAGGCTAGCACAAGTGGAAAGAAGCATTGAAAAGGCAAACCATCACCCCGATGGTGCGCCCCAAATCTGCTGTTTTTATAAGGAGTTGGACGCTATCCTAGGTGGTGACCCCACCTCCACTGAAAAGAGCACCGTGGATACTTTGGCGGGTCTGGAGCCAGTGGAAAGTGGACCTAACCCAGAGGAGGAAGTCATTGATGAAGATGTGAGGCTGAAGAAAATGCGGAGCCCTGTGACACATCCAGTCAGGAGCTGTTCTCTACTCCAGAGGTGTTTAGCCAGTCTCTGCAATCGCTCTCTGGTGAGCCAGAAGCAGGAGAGGAGACCCCCAGTAAGTGGTTTTGCTTTGTGATGTTCTGAAGCAGGTTAAGGGCAGAGAAATGTAGATGGCTGGCTTTGTTTCTGTGTGCTGGGCATTTTCCTGCACAGCTAGGCAGTATGGTGGAACAGGGAGTTGATGCACTCCAAGATTTCACAGGAATCCTCCAGAGGGATCTCTAGGAAACTTTCCTGGAGGTACTCAGCAATTCTTTGCCAGAGGTTCCTTGGCAGAGCTGCTTTGTTCCTTCCCCCATTGAGAGACACTTTCGCACGCCACTCTGCAATTACTTGAGCAGGGACCAAAGCTGCACGCAGGCAAGCAACAGAGGGACCGGGGCAGAAGCCGCAAGCGTGTAGCAGATATACCCTTTCTTCCCTGCTTACCCTCAGGAGTGAGATCTTCCATAGTGACCACTGCCTGTGGAAAACAGTGGGAAAGTTAGAGTGTTGCCCCCCATAAGTGCCCTGCGACCTTTTCAGATTGCTTTTCTGCAATACACAAGGCCTCTGCTCCTGGGTTCACTCACTATTCTTTGGGGTCTTCTGCCCCGTGTGTGCTTGCCTATGGTCACAGAGAAAGTGATAGTTTTGTTACCAGCAGTGTATTAATGTTACTGTTTCAATGCTGTGTGTGTAATTGACAATAGCACTTCTGTTTGTTGTGAATTATGCCTCTCCAGACTTCACCTTGAGAACCAACCCCTCAACAGCAGCAGAGCATCTGCGCAAGATAAGAAAACAGCTAAGGTGGACCAAGGAAGATAAATTCTGGGTGGTGGTGCAGCGGTCAGAGGTAGAAAACGCTGAATGCAAAGCGAAAAGCAGGAAAGAGAAGGATTCTTACAACAGGGATGCCACAGAGAGGCTGATTAAAGTTCTAGAGCATCAAACCAACATGCTCCAGACTCTCATAACACTGCAGACTGAGCAGATGCATACCCGCCTTCCCCTTCAGCACATTCCCTCCCCAAACGCCCCGTGCGCATTCCTTTCCACCTTCTGGCACTTTGCACTTTTCTCTACAGTCCACCCCCACAGACAGCTTTTCAAATGAAAGCTGGACCTATATTCAACTATGAAAATCAGCTCTCCCTCTCCCCACCCCCTGTACCTTCTCCCCCACCAACTGTGTGTTTTTCTGTGTGGTGTTGTGGTTTATTTGGCAATAAAAGCAAAGGTTTTTTTTAAATTATAAGCACTCTTTATTTGTTTCCAAGCAAGGTATGCTCCCTCATGGCACCTGCAAATCAATAGGCACTTTCATTAGTTCCTTACATTGAATCTGAGGCCTTAACAATCGCAACTGCTTTCTAGCCTACCAAATGTAATTAACCATTGCAGTCCCAAGCATAGCAACAAACATTACTGGTTTTCATCTTTGAAGCATTGCCTCAAGGCATCTCAGATTCTTATTGCCCCATGTTGCACCCCTTTAATAGCCCCGGTAGCTGGCTGCTCAAAATCAGCAGCCAGGCGTTGTGCCTTGGCAGTACACCCCCGAGTAGACCATTTGCCCTTCCCTTCACAAATATTATGCAGCATATGACATGCGACTATAACCATGGGTATATTTTCCTCATTCAGGTCTAACCTGCCATATAGGCATCACCAGCGTGCCTTTAATTGGCCAAACCCACATTCAATGGTTATTCTGCACTTACTTGGCCTGTTGTTGAACAGCTCCTTACTGCTATCTAGGTTTCCTGTGTGCGGCTTCATGATCCATGGCATTGAGGGGTATGCCGAGTCTCCCATGGGCATTTTGACTTCCCCTATGGTGATCTTATTTCTGTACAGGCCAATGTTCCTAAAGATGTGTGTCATGCACCTCTCCGGACCACCCTGCATTAATGTCCGTGAAATGCCCATGGTGATACACCATTGCCTGCAAAACCATGGAGAAGTACCCCCTTCCAATTGATGTACTCAGTCGCAAGGTGGTCTGGTGCCAGAATTGGAATATGCGTGCCATCTATCACCCCTCCACAATTAGGGTAACCCATGTCTGCAAAACCATCCACAATGTCATGCACATTCACAAGAGTCTCAGTCTTTCGCAGCAGGATGCAATTAATGGCCTTGCTCATTTGCATTAATGCAGCCCCAACGGTCGACTTCCCCACTCCAAACTGGTTTGCAACTGGCCGGTAGCAGTCTGGAGTCACCAGCTTCCACACTGCGTTTGCCACGCGCTTCTCCACCGAGAGGGCAGCTCTCATTCAGATGGTGGTGTGCTGCAGGGCTGGGGTGAGCTCAGCACACAGTTCCAGGAAGGTGGCTTTCTGCATCTGAAAGTTCTATAGCCACTGTTCGTCATCCCAGACCTGCATAATGATGCAATTCTACCACTCTGTGCTAGTTTTCCAAGCCCAAAAGAGACATTCCACTGTGTTCAGCTCCTCCATGAATGCCAAAAGCAATCTGTTACTGCTTTCCATGTTGGATGCCATGTCAGGCAGCTGTGACTGCCGTTGCCTTTGTAACTTCAAGAATAACTCAACTGCCACTCGCGATGTGCTACTGAGAGCTAGCAGAGAATGGAGAGCAGTGTGGGATCCATTCCTGCACATAGATGTGGTGGGGAAAGCAGAAAACAAGGAACTTTGAAAAATGCCACAGACTGAAGATGGAAGCACGTAGAATGCTAGGATGGAAACAGTGCATCACGGGGCATTGAGCTTGGACCATGATGCACCATGATCCCCTCTGCCTTCCCACAAGACCTAGTGGCAGAAGGGAGAGAGCTGCACTGTAGAATAGCTACCCACAGTGCACTGCTCTCATTGGTGATGCAAGTGTGAACACACTATGCCACCAGTGGAAGACAATGTGAATACACAACAGCAGTTTTCTTTAAGCGCATTTTTAATTAGCGACTAAACTCTTGGCGAAAAAATTCTGCCAGTGTAGAGGAAGGAGGTTGTGGTGGTGGGAGTCCTGGTATGGAGAAGGGGTCAGAGTACAGAAAGGGTTGGAAACTAACACATTTAGAACTTCAAATTGTACCAGAACTTTCTCAAAGTCCAAGCCATTTCTTTGTCTTGCCCACAAGCTGAGGGTCTAACTGATTGCCGTATCTGGGGTCGGGAAGGAATTTTCCCTCAGTAAATTGGCAGACTCTGGAGGGTTTTCACCTTCCTCTGCAGCATGGGACACGGGTCACTTGCAGGTTTAAACTACTGTAAATGGTGGGTTCTCTGTAACTTGATTTGAGGACTTCAGTAACTCAGCCAGAGGTTAGGGGTCTATTACAGGAGTGGGTGGGTGAGGTTCTGTGGACTGCAAGGTGCAGGACGCCAGACTAGATGATCATGATGGTCCCTTCTGGCCTTAAAGTCTCTGATTCTCTGAGCTTGGACAATCTTAGAGTGGGCGACAGGGCAAACATTATTAAGCTGTAGGGGTGAGGAATGTTCCCCTACTGGAGAAGCAAATAAATTGTCCCTCAGCATGTCCTGTAATATTGTGCCATTTTTGTTTTTAGAATCTCCAAATATCATTGCGGTTAGTGGCACCTGCACTGCCCCTAAACTCTTGGTCGCTAGTAATCCATTAGTTCCCTTTCCTTTACTGTTCCACTGCTGTACATCTGCAACGATAACAAAGATTGACAGACAGCCCTAAGCTGACTATATGGCTAGGTTCCTAGGAAGGATCTGCTGCCTTTCATAACAATGACAACAGTGGGGCTCCTCTAATGAGTTGTAGCCTCGTATTCACACCAGGATTGTCTGTTTCTCAGCAAAAGACTAGCTTCTCCTGCTGCATTTACACTCAGAGAGAGAATCCTTAGGAGGGTGGGCAGAGTGGGACAAGCCCCTGCTTCCCAACCGTGCTCCCTGGCAGGAGCGTGGGAGGATGGGATTGCAGATGGAAGGTGGAGGGAGGGGCCCCCATTTGCTCTGGTCCAGGGCCCCGCAAAGCCCTAATCCACCTCTGAGTTGAAGGGGCACTATCTAATTAAAACCCCCACAGGTAACATTTCATCTGTAACTAATATCACCTTAAATTATCCAGTTTAGTGTTTATTTACATTGCACTGTTCACTGTACTGCTTGCATTTCAGAGTAGCAGCCGTGTTAGTCTGTATTCGCAAAAAGAAAAGGAGTACTTGTGGCACCTTAGAGACTAACCAATTTATTTGAGCATAAGCTTTTGTGAGCTACAGCTCACTTCATCGGATCCGCTGATTATATTTGTCCAAGCTATCTATATAACTGTCAGGTTCTTCCTTGTACACATTGCAGGGAAATGTTTGTTTAAAAAACAAAACAAATCGGTTTTCTTCCAAACATTTTATTTTTAAAAGCATGGAAACACGGCTATTGAATATAAGACTTGCCAAACCCTTTTTTTACATTAATAACATTTCAGGCCAAATTGAGATGTTTTTTCAGGCTCCAGTGGGTAATGCTGGCTATTGTAGAAACATGAGCGAACAAAGAAAGTGAGAGGTTTAAGTTCTTATACTGCGAGGAAATGGCTACATAAAGGTCCAATCCTGTGAAGTGCTGAGTATCCTTATTTCCCATTAACTTCATGTAATGAAGGGATTACAGTTATTTCAAGGGGAACTGAGAGTGATCAGGAGCGACTCGGTGCTTCACAGGACTGGGCCATAAAGCAGTTTTAGTGACCTCTTGATTTAAATAACTTTTAATGTAGCGATACGTGACAGTGTACAAATGCTGTGCTAGGTAGGAAGGGGTTCATGAGAACTTGTGGGTTCAATTAGCTCTGCCCCTCTCCAGCTGTAAAGTGCCAGGCCTGGAGGGAGGGGTTAAAAGGCTCAGCAGGGGCCTGAGTGGGAATAGGCGAGGGCCTCTTGTGTTAGCCCCTTGAAAAGGCGGCTAGCTGGTGGCCCTGGGGCCTATCCCAGGACTGCCTGAAGGAAGGCCTGGCCAGGGCTGGATGATAACTAGGGCTTCTAGGGGCAGGTAGGCCCGGCAAGGGACTTTTATCTGTACTTTGTTCCCCGGAACTCCAGGGTCTTCCCTTTTGGGGATCTGCGAAGGAGCATGCCCAGGAAGGGGCTGGTGGAAGGCCTAGAGGACAGCCTGTGGTAGGAAGTGGCCCAGGGAGGGAGCTTCTGGAACCCACAGAGAGGGGGCCTAGGTTCCCCTACTACCAGCCCCTGGGCAAAGTGGGTATGGCAGCCCTGGAGATAGGGGCTGGAAAGAACTTGTGTTTGTGAAGCTGCTGCGTGACACATGTACGAGGCTCAATTCACCCTTATAGGGTTGAGACTCTGTGTGACCCTGTCGGAGGGTCATGTCATGAGAAGAGGCAAAGCCGGACACCAGATGAAGAGAGCCGTTGCCCCACGCCCAGCCATGAGTGGACGTGCCAGCGAGTCGACTCACTGACACAGAATTACAAGTTACTTTTACTTTCATCCCTACTATTGGCTGATGAGATTTAGATGTTCAATTTACATTAATACTTTGCGATCACAAAATCCTTACTTAAAAGTTGCAACTATAAAATGTTTTTGTTGTTTTTTTTTTAACTGAGAAACCAAATCTTACATGGCGGGGACAGGGGGCAAGAATTTGGATACATACGCTGATCCTTGACACTTGATTAGATGGCAAAGCTAAAAAGTTCACTCCAGTGCAATGGTAAAGAGAAAATGTTTCAGTGAAATCATCCTTGCCAAAAACCCACAGTTTGCTCTGTACCGTGGGAGGAAGAGAGAATTACTTAGTCAGAGGAATGAATGTGACTAAAGCAGATGCAGCCTCCAGCAATGCCGTCATCTCTTCAGCAAACTTTAAAGAACATGTAGAATACCTTGCTTAATTGGTCGATGTCAATATCCTTTATTTCCAGTTGGCTCTGTGGATAATTGTTTCAAAAGCACCTACATGACTTAAGCTCCTAAATCCCATTGACCCTGGCTCCCCATCCCACCAGGTTTAGGAGCTTAAGTCACTTAAATTCAGGCTAAAATTTTCAAAAGCACGTCTGACGTTTTAATATTTTATCATTTTGAAATGTTGTAGTTAATCCTATCAAATATTGTGTGTGTGTGTGAGAGAGAGAGAGAGAGATCTCCTAAGAACAAAGGGTGTCTCTATTCTGTAGCTAGGAGCAAACCCTCCAGCTCAGGGAGACAGACTCACACTAGGAGGGCTTGCACATGGCAAATAGCCATGTGGACATTGTAGCGTGAGCCTGAGCTGCAAC